GCCCTAAAAAGTTGGCTTTTCCAGCAAGCCAGCCTGGCCTGAACAAAACAAAATAAATTATTGATTACTGTTAATTTTAATCAAAAAATTTAAAATGTTTAATTTTAATTGGGTTTGTTTTGGATATTCTATTTTTTTTAATGTTGTACGCCGCCCTGAGTCCTTGGGAGAAGGGCGGCATATAAATACAATAAATCTAAACCTAAACCTAAACCAATCCTTTTTTTTTTAAATTTCCAGATTCTAATGTCCAATTCTAATATTAGTCCAATCCAAACCAAGTCGAAAATTTATTATCTTCCACAGCTTTAGAAAATCAAAACAGTGTAGAAAAACAAACACTCATTAATAGTTTTCACAGTTCCAAATTATCTTTTTCCGTAGTCAAGATAAAGTTTCACAGTTCCACTTTCTCTTCTATCTTTCACAAAGTATTGTAGTACTCTCTTCCCACCAGCAGATAGCTCTCTCAAATCTGCAGTACACTCAAACCAGCTGATTGTCAAAACTGTTAAAAACACTTTAAATCCACATTAAAAAAACTTTTTCCCAGATTCTTTCCTTTTATTATTTTTAGTTTCTCCAAATCCAATTGTAAAAGCAATAATCTTCTTGGACTTTAGTATTTAAGCCTCCACTTTATCCTTCTTCCTCCATGGAATTTCCCTAATGCCAATTAGCCAGCTCCAGCTCCAGGACCGTTTTTAAGTCCAAATTCAAAGTTTTCTTTTACTTGTGAGTTGGCCAATCACTCACCTCGTTCCAACACTCCATTCCAGCACTTAGTCCGGTTGCCCCAGCTTCAGAGCGATCATTTAGAAATGGCCCCCGCCCCCGCCATCAGTCTGAAGAGCTTTCTCTGACCTACTGAGGAACTTTCCGGTTCCTCTTGGTCGTCTGAGATGCCTTTCCTTCTTCCCCATCCTTATAGGATGGTTCCCATCTGAAGACCCCCCCGACAGCAGTTTGTTCAGCTGGATTTTCGTGGAGCTCATCAGAGCCCGCTATTTTTCCAACTGCGACACTTCCAGTTTCTCAAGATAAAGTACTTAATGATAGAGAGTACAAATAAGCAATCAAATCATACTAGGAAACAATCAGTATAAATTGCAAGGATACAAGCAACAAAACTAGAGTCATACAGTCAAAAGTGAAAGGATATGGGTGATAGGAAGGATGAGAAGATTAATAGTAACAGTAATGCAGACTTAGTAAATAGTTTGAGAGTATTGAGGGAATTATTTGTTTAGCAGAGTGATGGCGATCAGGAAAAAACTGTTCTTATGTCTAGTTGTTCTGGTCTCTATAGCGTCGTATTGAGAGTAGGAATTGAAAATTTATATCTAGGATATGAGGGGTCTGTGCATATTTTCACAGCCCTCTTTTTGACTTGTGCAGTATACAGGTCCGCAATGGAAGGCAGGTTGGTAGTAATTGTTTTAGCTGCAGTGTCTGTCTTGTTGGATTGCAGAACCAAACCAAGAAGTTATAGAGGTGCAGATGACAGACTCAATAATTCCTCTGTAGAACTGTATCAGCAGCTTCTTGGGCAGTTTGAGCTTTCTGAGTTGGCGCAGAAATAACATTTTTTGTTGTGTTTTTTTGATATTAGGTGTCCATTTTAAGTCTTAAGATATGATAGAACCTAGAAATTTGAACGTCTCTACTGTTGATACTATGTTGCCTAGTATTGTAAGAAGTGGGAGTATGGGAGGGTTTCTCCTAAAGTCTACCACCATTTCTATGGTTTTGAGTGTGTTCCAGTCACACCACATAGCTAGTTATTCAACCTCCAGTCTGTATGCGGATTCATCATTTTCTCCAATGAGACAAATCACTGTTGTAAGCATGCAAACATACAACCTAGTGGAATTTTGCAGAAACTCAGAAAAAAATTCACTTGACTTTCTACAGTTTGATCTTTTTCTCCAATCTTATTATCATTTTCATTTCTCTTTTGCTTTGAAGGTAATAATGGGCAGGAGAATCAAGATTCCTGTGAACTGTTCCAAGTGATCAATGCTAAAGATGGAATGGAGAAGTTTGGAATTCGAATGGAACTCAAAAGCTTTAAGAGAAACCAGTTAAATAATTGGAATCAGGAAAGCTCATCTTCCACTTATTCTCTGATGCATGACTTTCTTGCCCAACAAGAGAAAATAAGGAAAAAATATATTGGGCAAAGTGTGAAGCTAATTAAAGCTAAATTACATGTAAACGGACACTATTTAACCCAAAACAGAAGAGAAGATGCTATAAGAAAATACAATGGAGAAAATTACAATGGGACATTCATTCTTTCTGTTGGAAATAATTTCTGTACATCTCAAAAAGTAATTCCCCCCAAAGAATGCTTGGTGTGTGGAAAGATCTTTTCTCAAAATCGTAGTCTTAT